AGACTGGAAGGGGGGGGTGTTCGCGCCCAGACTGGAAGGGGGGGGTGTTCGCGCCCAGACTGGAAGGGGGGGGGTGTTCGCGCCCAGACTGGAAGGGGGGGGTGTTTTCGCAGCGCCCAGACTGGAAGGGGGGGGTGTTCGCGCGCCCAGACTGGAAGGGGGGGGTGTTCGCGCCCAGACTGGAAGGGGGGGGTGTTCGCGCCCAGACTGGAAGGGGGGGTGTTCGCGCCCAGACTGGAAGGGGGGTGTTCGCGCCCAGACTGGAAGGGGGGGTGTTCGCGCCCAGACTGGAAGGGGGGGTGTTCGCGCCCAGACTGGAAGGGGGGGTGTTCGCGCCCAGACTGGAAGGGGGGGTCCAGTTCGCGTCCAGACTGGAAGGGGGGGTTCGCGTCCAGACTGGAAGGGGGTGTTCGCGTCCAGACTGGAAGGGGGGTGTTCGCGTCCAGACTGGAAGGGGGGTGTTCGCGTCCAGACTGGAAGGGGGGTGCGTTGTTCGCGTCCAGACTGGAAGGGGGGTGTTCGCGTCCAGACTGGAAGGGGGGTTCGCGTCCAGACTGGAAGGGGGGGGTTCGCGTCCAGACTGGAAGGGGGGGTTCGCGGACTGGAAGGGGGGGTTCGCGTCCAGACTGGAAGGGGGGGTTCGCGTCCAGACTGGAAGGGGGTGTTTCCGCGTCCAGACTGGAAGGGGGTGTTCGCGTCCAGACTGGAAGGGGGTGTTCGCGTCCAGACTGGAAGGGGGTGTTCGCGTCCAGACTGGAAGGGGGTGTTCGCGTCCAGACTGGAAGGGGGTGTTCGCGTCCAGACTGGAAGGGGGTGTTCGGTCCAGACTGGAAGGGGGTGTTCGCGTCCAGACTGGAAGGGGGTGTTCGCGTCCAGACTGGAAGGGGGTGTTCGCGTCCAGACTCGTCCAGACTGGAAGGGGGTGTTCGCGTCCAGACTGGAAGGGGGTGTGTCCAGCGTCCAGACTGGAAGGGGGTGTTCGCGTCCAGACTGGAAGGGGGGGTTCGCGTCCAGACTGGAAGGGGGGGAAAGTGTCCAGACTGGAAGGGGGGGAAAGTGTCCAGACTGGAAGGGGGGGGGAAAGTGTCCAGACTGGAAGGGGGGGAAAGTGTCCAGACTGGAAGGGGGGGAAAAGTGTCCAGACTGGAAGGGGGGGAAAGTGTCCAGACTGGAAGGGGGGGGGAAAGTGTCCAGACTGGAAGGGGGGGGAAAGTGTCCAGACTGGAAGGGGGGGAAAGTGTCCAGACTGGAAGGGGGGGAAAGTGTCCAGACTGGAAGGGGGGGAAAGTGTCCAGACTGGAAGGGGGGGAAAGTGTCCAGACTGGAAGGGGGGGGAAAGTGTCCAGACTGGAAGGGGGGGAAAGTGTCCAGACTGGAAGGGGGGAAAGTGTCCAGAAAGGGGGGGAAAGTGTCCAGACTGGAAGGGGGGGAAAGTGTCCAGACTGGAAGGGGGGGGAAAGTGTCCAGACTGGAAGGGGGGGAAAGTGTCCGGACTGGAAGGGGGGGAAAGTGTCCGGACTGGAAGGGTGTCCGGACTGGAAGGGGGGAAAGTGTCCAGACTGGAAGGGGGGGAAAGTGTCCGGACTGGAAGGGGGGGGAAAGTGTCCGGACTGGAAGGGGGGGGGAAAGTGTCCGGACTGGAAGGGGGGGAAAGTGTCCGGACTGGAAGGGGGTGTTCGTTGTCGTCCAGACTGGAAGTGGGTAAGCTGAGCGTCAGCATTACCTAACCACAGTGAGATCTAGCCCCAATCCAGACATTGCAAACTTTGACCTAGATCATGTCACAAGCTATTATTTAATCCCTGAGGGGAGGGGGGCTGGCCCCCGAAACGTGTTGGCTGCATCTGATGCTCTTGCTCTATAAACTTTTTTAAATGAACTTACAAAGAAGAAGACTGTTTTCACTAGGCGCTCCCAACCCCATATCCAACCTAAAACATGGCTGCCTCATGGCTGATAATTGTAATGACATCAGACGCATCAGAATGTAATAACACAGAACTCTAAAGTGTATACAGACAACACATTGCAGGCAGTGGGGAAAAAAATAAACTTTTTCTCCTGAATTTCTGCATGATTTCACTTTCCTGGGATGGCAGGCCAGGCAGCCATTGTTGTCACCACAAACACTGCAGACGGGTGTTTACAGTAGCAGCAAGACATGGAGACTTTCCCCCGGCAATGTGCAGCTTTACACCCATTCAGTCCCAGCGCTGAAAAACTAAATATAAAACAGCTGAAGAGTGAATTGGATCGCTAAACTGATGCTGAGCTCACCTTGTCTTTCCTGATAAAGTCGACCTGACATGTGACAACAAACTGCAGCTGTATCATTTTAAGAAAAACTCCAACTCCTATCAATAAAAAGTCATCCTTAAACTCCAGTTCTGTGCCTAAGGCTGAGATGATGTCATCAGTGTGTTCCTCAGTCTCCTCCTCCCCCAGCAATCAGACCATTAGGCTGAGATGATGTCATCAGTGTGTTCCTCAGTCTCCCCCTCCCCCAGCGATCAGACCATTAGGCTGAGATGTCATCAGTGTGTTCCTCAGTCTCCTCCTCCCCCAGTGATCAGACCATTAGGCTAAGATGATGTCATCAGTGTGTTCCTCAATTTCCTCTTCCCCCAGCGATCAGACCATTAGGCTGAGATGTCATCAGTGTGTTCCTCAGTCTCCTCCTCCTCCCCCCCCCCCCCGATCAGACCATTAGGCTGAGATGATGTCATCAGTGTGTTCCTCAGTCTCCTCCTCCCCCAGTGATCAGACCATTAGGCTAAGATGATGTCATCAGTGTGTTCCTCAATCTCCTCTTCCCCCAGCGATCAGACCATTAGGCTGAGATGTCATCAGTGTGTTCCTCAGTCTCCTCCTCCCCCCCCCCCCCCCCCCCCCCCCCCGATCAGACCATTAGGCTGAGATGATGTCATCAGTGTGTTCCTCAGTCTCCTCCTCCCCCAGCGATCAGACCATTAGGCCGAGATGATGTCATCAGTGTGTTCCTCAGTCTCCTCCTCCCCAGCGATCAGACCATTAGGCTGAGATGAGGTCATCAGTGTGTTCCTCAGTCTCCTCCTCCCCCAGCGATCAGACCATTAGGCTGAGATGATGTCATCAGTGTGTTCCTCAGTCTTCTCCTGCCCCAGCAATCAGACCATTAGGCTGAGATGTCATCAGTGTGTTCCTCAGTCTCCTCCTCCCCCAGCGATCAAACCATTAGGCCGAGATGATGTCATCAGTGTGTTCCTCAATCTCCTCTTCCCCCTAGTGATCAGACTATTAGGCTGAGACGTCATCAGTGTGTTCCTCAATCTCCTCCTCCCCCAGTGATCAGACTGTATATTGGAACTTTGTAGCGAATCATAAAGGAGAAAAGGCTGCAACAGGGGCTGATCTGTGTCAGACATTTGCAAACACAGGCAAAAACTGCACAGGCATCAGGATGTACATGACAGTGTCATCTCTGAGCCGGCATCTCAGTTCGGAAAATAGATGGTGACCCCAGATGATGTCTGAATAGAGATCCCTGATGCAAGCAGCGGGCTGGCTCTTGGGAGGAGTTATGCAAATATCAAAATGCCTTGATGGGTGAGTGTCAGTCTGGAGGAGAGGACGTTCCTAGGCAGGCTGCATTTGTATACAGACCACCCTAAGTAATGACTAAATGTGATGCAGAGCCTCCATGATTGAAAGAACTGAAATCCAAGAGGCGGGGCCAGGAGTCAGGCTGGGGAGGAAAAAAGCTAGATGATGCTGGGCGTCCTCTAGCCAGGAAATGGGGCGGAGCTCTATCTGACTTGCTGCACCTTCTAATGCACATGGTGAGAAGCTCACAGTGTGCAATGAAATCAGAGGAAGCCGTTTCAGTCCAGGAGAGGAGCCGGTACACCTGTGCAAGACTGAAGGGGAGGAGCCGGTACTCCTGCGCAAGACTGAAGGGGAGGAGCCGGTACTCCTGCGCAAGACTGAAGGGGAGGAGCCGGTACACCTTTGCAAGACTGAAGGGGAGGAGCCGGTACACCTTTGCAAGACTGAAGGGGAGGAGCCGGTACACCTGTGCAAGACTGAAGGGGAGTAGGCGGTACAGCTGTGCAAGACTGACGGGGAGGAGCCGGTACACCTGTGCAAGACTGAAGGGGAGGAGCCGGTACACCTGTGCAAGACTGAAGGGGAGTAGGCGGTACAGCTGTGCAAGACTGAAGGGGAGGAGCCGGTACTCCTTTGCAAGACTGAAGGGGAGGAGCCGGTACTCCTTTGCAAGACTGAAGGGGAGGAGCTGGTACTCCTTTGCAAGACTGAAGGGGAGGAGCAGGTACACCTGTGCAAGACTGAAGGGGAGGAGCCGGTACACCTGTGCAAGACTGAAGGGGAGGAGCCGGTACACCTGTGCAAGACTGAAGGGGAGGAGCCGGTACACCTGTGCAAGACTGAAGGGGAGGAGCAGGTACACCTGTGCAAGACTGAAGGGGAGGAGCAGGTACACCTGTGCAAGACTGAAGGGGAGGAGCAGGTACACCTGTGCAAGACTGAAGGGGAGGAGCCGGTACACCTGTGCAAGACTGAAGGGGAGGAGCAGGTACACCTGTGCAAGACTGAAGGGGAGGAGCCGGTACACCTGTGCAAGACTGAAGGGGAGGAGCCGGTACACCTGTGCAAGACTGAAGGGGAGGAGCAGGTACACCTGTGCAAGACTGAAGGGGAGGAGCCGGTACACCTTTGCAAGACTGAAGGGAAGGCCGGAGGTCAGCTTCAAGCATAAAAAACATAAAACAAGACATACAGCGTGGAGGGGGAAGAGAGCGGAGCCCAGAGTTGGGCTTTAACCACCTGCTTACAACTTACAGTGAATACACTGTAAGTGGGCGGCAGGTGCAGGCTCAGCAAAGTACATGTAAGTCACCATCTTGCTTCCGGATTTGGGGCGCGTATGTGCGTGCCCCCCTGCTGTGATTGGACACCGCACGAGTTTGGCGGTGGATTTCAGCCAATTACTTCAGATTAAATCTGCTGATCGACTGTGTCCAATCACATCACAAAGTTCTGTGTGCCAGCCGCTCGGCTTTTCTGTGCAGCAGAATCTGCAGACCCCCAGCAGTCCTACCTGTTCCTCGGTCCAGCAGTGTCCTCACCGTCTTCTCTCCCCGGCGCCGGCATCTTTAGTGTGGGCACCCGGCTGTGACAGCTTGCAGCTTCATGTCCGGATGCCCACTGCACATGCGCGGGAAGCGCTGTGCTTTGTGAATGGCCCCGTAGTCTTCTGAGACCTGTTGCTTGTAACGTATGGGGAGGGAGGGGGAAGGACAACTCTGTGGAAGTGGGAGTGGGTACCTGTCAAATTCGTGTATCCGCTCCCCCCCCCTCCTCTCCCGAAAGGTCCGCAGTCTCTGGTCATCTCCTGTACTATATCTGCAGTCTCTGGTCATCCCCTGTACTGTCCGCAGTCTCTGGTCATCTCCTGTACTATGTCTGCAGTCTCTGGTCATCTCCTGTACTATGTCTGCAGTCTCTGGTCATCCCCTGTACTGTCCGCAGTCTCTGGTCATCTCCTGTACTGTGTCCGCAGTCTCTGGTCATCTCCTGTACTATGTCCGCAGTCTCTGGTCATCTCCTGTACTATGTCTGCAGTCTCTGGTCATCCCCTGTACTGTCCGCAGTCTCTGGTCATCTCCTGTACTGTGTCCGCTGTCTCTGGTCATCTCCTGTACCGTGTCCGCAGTCTCTGGTCATCTCCTGTACCGTGTCCGCAGTCTCTGGTCATCTCCTGTACCGTGTCCGCAGTCTCTGGTCATATCCTGTACCGTGTCCGCAGTCTCTGGTCATCTCCTGTACCGTGTCCGCAGTCTCTGGTCATCCCCTGTACTGTGTCCGCAGTCTCTGGTCATCCCCTGTACTGTGTCCGCAGTCTCTGGTCATCCCCTGTACTGTGTCCGCAGTCTCTGGTCATCCCCTGTACTGTGTCCGCAGTCTCTGGTCATCCCCTGTACTGTGTCCGCAGTCTCTGGTCATCCCCTGTACTGTGTCCGCAGTCTCTGGTCATCCCCTGTACTGTGTCCGCAGTCTCTGGTCATCTCCTGTACTGTGTCCGCAGTCTCTGGTCATCTCCTGTACTGTGTCTGCAGTCTCTGGTCATCTCCTGTACTATGTCCGCAGTCTCTGGTTATCTCCTGTACTGTGTCTGCAGTCTCTGGTCATCTCCTGTACTATGTCCGCAGTCTCTGGTTATCTCCTGTACTATGTCCGCAGTCTCTGGTCATCTCCTGTACTGTGTCCGCAGTCTCTGGTCATCTCCTGTACTGTGTCCGCAGTCTCTGGTCATCTCCTGTACTGTGTCCGCAGTCTCTGGTCATCTCCTGTACTGTGTCCGCAGTCTCTGGTCATCTCCTGTACCGTGTCCGCAGTCTCTGGTCATCTCCTGTACCGTGTCCGCAGTCTCTGGTCATCTCCTGTACCGTGTCCGCAGTCTCTGGTCATCTCCTGTACCATGTCCGCAGTCTCTGGTCATCTCCTGTACTGTGTCCGCAGTCTCTGCTCATCTCCTGTACTACATCCGCAGTCTCTGCTCATCTCCTGTACTGTGTCTGCAGTCTCCGGTCATCTCCTGTACTGTGTCTGCAGTCTCCGGTCATCTCCTGTACTGTGTCCGCAGTCTCTGCTCATCTCCTGTACTGTGTCTGCAGTCTCCGGTCATCTCCTGTACTGTGTCTGCAGTCTCTGGTCATCTCGTGCACTGTGTCCGCAGTCTCTGGTCATCCCCTGTACTGTCTGCAGTCTCCGGTCATCTCCTGTACTATGTCCGCAGTCTCTGAAAAATACGGTAATTGTCAATAAAAGCCTTTGGCACTTATAAAATTCTTGTCATTATACTTCATTATATCATAGTAACATCTGACAAAAAGATCTACAAACACTGAAGCAGCAGACTTTGTGACAATTAAGATTTGCGTCGTTCTCAAAACTTTTACAGAAGAATGGCCTGGCCACGAAGGGGGTAAAACCTGCCGGTGGACAATTGGTTAAGCTGAGAAGTGGAACGTACGTCATCTGCGGCTGATGAATTACTAATTATGTTTACGTTTTGCGAATGTTATCATGGAAAGAAGATAGAACCAAAAAAGAAATCCGAGACCAAAGATTGATGAGTCTGTTTGCTATACAAAGGCTGCTCTGGTAATTATAGAGGCGCGTTCCTCCAAAACAAAATCCATCTGGAGCAGCTCCATCACATACTATCCTATGAGGATTCAAATACAGAAAAACACCGATTTCCTTTATCTTCAGATCTGACAATACATTTCCGACATCCTGAGGTTGTTTCAAAAGTCATATTCCATATATTTAAATCTGCATCTTTCATTAAAGTAGAACTCTAGGAAAAACATTTTTTTTTCCCATTTTGGATAGACTAAGGGAGGGTTATAACAAGTCAGGTTTTTTCGACACTTGTGTCCCATTGCAGAGATTTCCCTTCACTTCCTGTCCCATAGCCCAACAGGAAGTGAGAGGAAATCCCTGCAAATTAAGGGAACTCCTTGGGGACTCAGGTCACCAGAACCAGTGTCCTGGTGGGAAGATTCCCCACTCTTACTTTTCTGGGGACAACCCAAAATTTGGAATTTTCTTTACTTTCACTTTCAATGATAGAGGGGGTGAATCTCCCTAATGGGAGCACAGACAGCAATAAAAACTGACAGGGGGTCTACACCCTCTGCACTCCATCCAAAACTAACAAAAAACATTTTTTTCTTTATTTACACTTTAAAGCGGAGCTCCACCCAAAAGGGGAACTTCCGCTTTAAGGACTGCTCCCCAATAAGGATTGGCACCTTTGGGGAGCGGGTACCCGAATTTGACAGGTACCCGCTCCCACTTTCGGTTCGATCGCCTAGGCCAGGGGTAGGCAACCTGCGGCTCTCCAGCTGTTGCAGGACTACAAGTTCCATCATGCCTGTGCAAATCATAGCTGTAGTTTTGCAATGTCTCATGGGAAATGTAGTTCCACAACTGCTGGAGAGCCGCAGGTTGCCTACCCCTGGCCAAGCAGATCGGAAGTGGAAGGTGTCCTCCCTCCCTCCCTCCCTCCCTCCCTCTAGTCTTTTGGGACACGTGACAGGTTCCAGAACACTACAGGACCATTCATGAAGCACAGCGCTACTCGTGCATGCGCAGTGGGTACCCGGCTGTGAAGCCGCAAGCTATTACAGCCGGGTGCCCACACTGAAGATGCTGGATTCCTGCAATCCAGGACGGCCGGTGACACGGGCTGCGGGGGACACACCGAGGGACAGGTAAGTGGCTGTTTTTTTTTAAAAGTCAGCAGCTACAGTTTTTGTAACTGCTTTTATTTTTTGACAGAGTGAGTGTTCTTTCATTCTCTATCAGGCACCGCCCACTCCATCAGGCTCCACCCACCCCAGTGCAAAAGTCCTCAGCCATGTGCCGGTCAGTGTGGCAGACGTAGTGGCCAGGGAGAGAGGGCACTGAGGAAGGGGTGTTCAGTATGGACAGTCCAACCCCAGTGCAGACATCGAAAGGCTCATGTACCCGTACATGAATCGGGCGCAAGCGCTAACACTTTTGATTCTGCGCCCTGCAGGAATTCTAAAGGATGTCTAGAATATTCCTTTCCAGAATAGTTTTTGGCGACAGTGCTGATCCTATAAGACATGGGTTCAAAATGAAGCGCCATTCATCCCTTTACCCCTCCACCCCCCACAAGACTTTACCCTGGCTGGATTCTCCCCATTCCGCAAGTATCGTTCCCTTTCGTGGACTTTCTCGGCGATCTCCTGGGCGAGGTGGTACGTGTCATCGTAGATCGATAACCTGCATCCAGAACACAAATAAAACTCGGTCATACACCAATACCTTCTCTACTGAAACCAAAACACGTGACTTAAAGCTGAAGTGTAATATACACATACAGTAGAATACCTGCCTTGGCTCCCCCCTCCCCCCCCAAAAGGCATGCAATAAAAAAAATTTGAATCGGAACCTTTTGTTTTAAAAAAAAAAAAAAAAATACCCCTTTTGAGACCCTGTGACATCAGTACTTGGTCTCTCCCCTGCTCTTTGCTCCGAGGCTGGTGGAAAGGGGTCAGAAGGTTCCTGTACATTTTGCAGCCTCTGATCCCTGACATTCATTTAGATGTGCATACTCCTCCCTGCTGGCCATTGGGTGCTGCAGACTATAACTGTGTAATATGTTGATCAGATTTGTAATCAAGCAACTAATCAGCAGATTGTACCTCTAAAGTCTGCACCACCCAGGGAGCATGCCCATCTAGAGGGATGCCAGGAATGTGTTCTTTCATATAACGTTCAGGAACAAAATGACTGATGGCAAAGATTTGCAATCAAGCAACTAACCAGCATATTGCACAGCTAAAGTCTGCATCACCCAGTGTGCATGCCCATCTAAAGAGATGCCAGGTTTGTGTTCTTTCATATGAGGTTCAAGAACAAAGTGACTGATGGCAAATATTTGCAATCAAGAAACTAATTAGCATATTGCACAGCTAAAGTCTGCATCACCCAGTGTGCATGCCCATCTAAAGGGATGCCAGGTTTGTGTTCTTTCATATGAGGTTCAGGAACAAAGTGACTGATGGCAAATATTTGCAATCAAGAAACTAGTTAGCAGATTGCACTGCTAAAGTCTGAACCACCCAGGGAGCATGCCCATCTAAAGGGATGCCAGGTTTGTGTTCTTTCATAAAAGTTCAGGAGCAAAATGACTGATGGCAGAGAAAACTAACAGCTGTGAGAGGATAATGACATTGATGACAATTGAATTCGATCATAAAGGAAATGAAGGAGAGAGTAATTAGTTTCAACACAGGAAAAGACTTACTACAAGTCACATATATACGTGATTGAGATTAGGAGCGCGCAGAACACCCGTTAAGGAGCACAGTGCGCCCCTCCTGTGACCGCTGTGTTCACCGGACACAGCAGATCTCGATTACCCGGTAACTGGGCATCGTGTGATTGTTATGATTGGTTATAGCGATCACATGATAACAATGTAAGCAACCTGGCATGAACAGCCTGCTTACTGTTGTGATCAGGGATTGGCCCACAGCGATCGCATGGTACCTGGCTACCTGAACCATGTGATTAGCTTAGCCAATCATAGATCCCAATCAAAAGAAATCTGTTCTGAAACCCATTCATGACAGCTAAAGCTATTGCTTATATATATATATATTACACACTATATTGCCAAAAGTATTGGTCGGCCGGCCTTTCCACACACATGACCTGTAATGGCCCCCCAGTCTTAGTCCGTAGGGTTCAATATTGAGTTGGCCCCGCCCTTTACACACACATGACCTTTAATGGCCGCCCAGTCTTAGTCCGTAGGGTTCAATATTGAGTTGGCCCCGCCCTTTCCACACACATGAACTTTAATGGCCCCCCAGTCTTAGTCCGTAGGGTTCAATATTGAGTTGGCCCCGCCCTTTACACACACATGACCTTTAATGGCCCCCCAGTCTTAGTCCGTAGGGTTCAATATTGAGTTGGACCCGCCCTTTGCAGCTATAACAGCTTCAACTCTTCTGGGAAGGCCGTCTACAAGGTTTTTAGGAGGGTGTCTATGGGAAGGTTGGACCATTCTTCCAGAAGCACATTTGTCAGGTCAGGCACTGATGTCGGGGGAGGGGGCCTGGCTCGCAGTCTCCACTCTAATTCATCCCAAAGGTGTTCTATGGGGTTGAGGTCAGGACTCTGTGCAGGACAGTCAAGTTCCTCCACCCCAAACTGGCTCCTCCATGTCTTTATGGACCTTGCTTTGTGCACTGGGGGCAGTCATGTTGGAACAGGAAGGGGCCATCCCCAAACTCTTCCCACAAAGTTGGGAGCAGGAAATTATCCAAAATGTCGCCTTAAGAGTTCTCTTCACTGGAACTAGGGGGCCAAGCCCAACCCCTGAGAAACAACCCCACACCATAATCCCCCCTCCACCAAACTTTACACTTGGCACAATGCAGTCAGGCAAGTACCGTTCTCCTGGCCACCGCCAAACCCAGACACATCCATCAGATTGCCAGACAGAGAAGCGTGGTTGGTCACTCACAGAGAACACATCTCCCCTGCTCTAGAGTCCAGTGGCGGCGTGCTTTACACCACAGCATCCGACGCTTGGCATTGCACTTGGTGATGGAAGGCTTGGATGCAGCTGCTCGGCCATGGAAACCCATTCCATGAAGCTCTCTACACACTGTTGGGCTCATCTGAAGGCCACACCAAGTTTGGAGGTCTTTAGCTATTGACTCTGCAGACAGTTGGCTACTTCTGCGCACTGTGCGCTTCAGCATGCGCTGACCCCGCCCTGTCATGTGACGTGGCCTACCACTTGGTGGCTGAGTGGCTGTTGTTCCCAGTTGCTTCCACTTTGTTATAATCCCACTAACAGTTGAGCGTGGAATATTTAGTAGCCAGGAAATGTCACGGATGGACTTATTGCACAGGTGACCACCTATCACGGGACCACGCTTGGAGTCACTGAGCTCCTGAGAGCGACCCATTCTTTCACCAATGTTTGTAGAAGCCGTCTGCATGCCTAGGGGCTTGATGGTATCCACCTGTGTCCATGGAGGGGATTGGAACACCTGAATCACATGATATGGAGGGGATTGGAACACCTGAATCACATGATATGGAGGGGATTGGAACACCTGAATCACATGATATGGAGGGGATTGGAACACCTGAATCACATGATATGGAGGGGATTGGAACACCTGAATCACATGATATGGAGGGGATTGGAACGCCTGAATCACATGATATGGAGGGGATTGGAACACCTGAATCACATGATTGGGAGGGCGGGGCCAATACTTTTGGCAATATAGTGTGTGGATATATATATATTTTTTTCTGTTTTACATACTGTCAGCAGTCAGTATCTCTGATCCCAATGTTTGTGGCCTCTATAATAAAACGCGCCACGTTCCATTCCAAAAGAGGTTCTGGAGCTTCTTTGGGGTGTTTCCCGTACGTGGGGGGGGGGGGGGGGTCCTGCCGCACTTGAGTCCAGCCTCAAGTACTATTAAAGGTTTGCCCGAGCATGGCTGGGGGAGGGGGGGGTGTTGTTATGGTGATGTGGTAGGGGCAGTGCCCTCCCCCCCGTCGTGTTCCCCCGGAAAACTCTGCTCTGTACTTCTGGGTATGGGGAACTGTGCGACTTCCTATCCCCCCCCCCCCCCTGGCGCCATGTTTTGTGGTCACATGGGGGAGGGGCGGTCATACCTGCGGTGTAAGCTCTGACACGGAGCGTACACAGGCCCGAGGTCTCGCGACTCACATCCACCAGTGGCTGGCGAGCTTTTACAGCGGCCAATGAGAAAAGGAAGGCGAGGACGCGCACTAACCGCCGTGACAACGTGTCGGGGCAGAACAAACGCGTTGTCAACCCAGTGCAACCCCCCTTGAACTGATTTCCGATAAAACCTGAGGTGGGGGCTTCCCCTGACTCTTCAGCTGCTGCACAACTACTCCCAGCAGGCCATGGTGGGGCTCCCTAAATCAGCACCCGCTCCCCCCAGCCCCATTTACCCACCAGGGATCCGGGGCCATCGCTCCAGCCACTACACACCGGCGACACTTCCTGTTTGTGTCACGTGACGGACGGCGCGGCCGGAGGGACAAACTTATCCGGGAGAGGAAGCGCGAAGTTGGATCTGTGGTCAGTGTGGGCTGGGAGAGGAAAGGAGGACACCTAGCGGTCACTGGAGGGATTGTCATTATATGTTTTCTGCTGTAGTCCTCATGCACACGGGGCGTTTTACAGCGGCTGGTTTTGGCTTTTGACGTTTTTTCTACAGCCAGTAAACCCCCCCAGCATGTTATCCTATGTGTCCATACACACATAGACTGGAATCAACGTTTTTTGGCTGAAAAAAAAAAATCAGGACTAGTGCAATTCTAGAGGAGTTTTTTTAGCTGTAAAATGCTCTAACGCTGAAAGACACGACAAAATGCGGTAAAACGCAGCAAACCAGCATGGTTGGACTTTTTTTTACCAAAAAAAAAAAAAACATTTTTTTGGTGAAAAAAACCTCTAAAAAATGCAAACGTGGAAAAATGTGGCAAAATAATGCAAACCGGCGTTTTTGATGTTTAATTGACCCATAAAGAACCCACCTGCACTCTAGCAACAGAAGAATGCTCTGCAATTGAGAATCCGCCTTCGTCCTAGCAACAGAAGAATGTTAGGAGGTATCATTGAGAACCCGCCTGCATCATAGCAACAGAACATAGTTAGGCAGCGTTACTGAGAACCCGCCTGCATCCTAGCAACAGAAGAATGTTAGACAGCTTCATTGAGAATGCACCTTCGTCCTAGCAACAGAAGAATATTAAGCGGTACCATTGAGAAACCACCTGTATCATAGCAACAGAACATAGTTAGGTAGCGTTATTGAGAACACGCCTGCATCCTAGCAACAAAAGAATGTTAGGCAGCTCCACTGAGAATCCACCTTCTTCCTAGCAATGGAAGAATGTCAGGTGGCATCATTGAGGACCCGTGTCCCGTGTCATTTGCATAACTCCTCCCAAGAGCTTGCCCACTGCCCCATCAGGGTTGATGACTCCCCACAAGAAAAATATACAATATTTGAAATATATTTAAAAAGTATTCTTCCCAAATATAGTGACATATATTTGAAATGCTACAATTTTGGCCGTATTCAATATATTTAAAAAAAATATATATATATATATATACTGCATGCTGAAATGCGTTTTTATTACAGAATATATGAAAAATATTTTAGAAAATACATTTCAAATATACTGTATGTCTTTAAAAATACAAATCTACATTTTTGGAATGCATTTACAAATATATGTAAAAATGACTTTTTTATGTTAACAAAATTGTTGCATTTCAAATATATTGCCAATATATCTGGGAAGAATATTTTAAAAATATATTTAAATATTTTGGTTTTCTTCCATATGGGTCTTGAGAGGGTATACTGAGGCAGGGTGCTGTGATGTTTTCCGGAAGCTATGTACAGCACCCTGCCAGCCCCTCCCACTAGCCATGATCTGCCTGCATTGCATAGAGAAACACAGAGACCCAGCAAGGTATAAAAATAAGGTATGTAATGAAAAAGGAAATTTTTTTTTCTTTAAATGTCATTAGCATGTTGATGGTGGGCGGGAGAAGGAACCGGGGAAGGCAAAACATAAACATAATAAACTTCAGCTTTAATTTAAAACGGTCATGTTTACAGAAAATTGCCGGATTTTAAGTGCCAGGTGTGTCCTTGTTGTGACATACATGAAATGCGCTGTGATACCTGCGATATTGCAACACTGCCTGGAAATATCAACACAGCCGGCGAGTATACACAACACGGGGTCATGATCCCTCGCCGAGCACTTCTGTACCGCGGTCCTGCAGCGTCCTGCGATTGCCGGCGGTTACCTCCAGCTGATTGGATCCCATGACTCTTTATTTTTAGCAAATTTCCACTTAGCGTTTGGCACCTGGAAGTGAAGGTCATAGAGGAAGGGGTCAGCGGATCACGTGTGGCTACAGCCACTGCGGGCGATTTACACGAGAAGGGGGAGTCACTGCATCCTTCACATGGATGACTTCCTCGCAGGGGCGGACTGACAACTCATGGGGTCCTGGGCAATAGGGGATCATGGGGCCCCTGTATCCTTGCCCACACTCCAAAAAGCCTATGAAAAAGGTACCAGGGGCATCTCATGGGGCCCCCTATTGACCCCGGGCCCTCGGGCAAGAGGGGATCATGGGGCCCCTGTGTCCTTGCCCACACTCCAAAAAGCCTATGAAAAAGGTACCAGGGGCATCTCATGGGGCCCCCTACTGACCCCGGGCCCTCGGGCAATAGGGGATCATGGGGCCCCTGTGTCTTTGCCCAAACTCAAAATAGCCTATGAAAAAGGTACCAGGGGCATCTCATGGGGCCCCCTACTGACCCCGGGCCCTCGGGCAAGAGGGGATCATGGGGCCCCTGTGTCCTTGCCCAAACTCAAAAAAGGCTATGAAAAAGGTACCAGGGGCATCTCATGGGGCCCCCTACTGACCCTGGGCCCTCGGGCAAGAGGGGATCATGGGGCCCCTGTGTCCTTGCCCAAACTCAAAAAAGCCTATGAAAAAGGTACCAGGGGCATCTCATGGTGCCCCCTACTGACCCCGGGCCCGCGGGCAAGAGGGGATCATGGGGCCCCTGTGTCCTTGCCCAAACTCAAAAAAGCCTATGAAAAAGGTACCAGGGGCATCTCATGGTGCCCCCTACTGACCCCGGGCCCGCGGGCAAGAGGGGATCATGGGGCCCCTGTGTCCTTCCCCAAAACTCAAAAAAGCCTATGATAAAGGTACCAGGGGCATCTCATGGGGCCCCCTACTGACCCTGCTTCCTCGCTAATGAAAATGAACTCTTGTGTTCGAACACTTCCATGCCGGCGATCCGCGCCGTGACATACAAAAACAATTTAGGGCTCAAGCTGTACCTGCGTGTGTTTCCTCCGGGTACTCCAGTTTCCTCCCACACTCCACAGACATGCTGGGAGGTTAACCAGAGGATTCCCCCCCCCCCTTCCTGACGAGGTCATTTTTTGCGATACGGCGCTGCGTTACTTTAACTGACAATTGCGCGGTCATGCAACGCTGCACCCAAATTATATGTACGTCCTTTTTTTCCTCACGCATTGAGCTTTCTTTTTGTGGTATTTGATCGCCTATACATTTTTTATTTTTGCGCAAAAAAAAAAAAAAGGCCGACAATTTTGAGGAAAAAAAACTATATTTTGAACTTTTTGCTATTAAACATGTCCAGTAAAAAACGGAAAAAAAATCAAATTTCGTCATAAATTTAGGCCAAAATGTATTCTGCTCCGTGTCTTTGCTGAAAAAAAATCCCAATACGTGTAAAATAATTGGTATAGCGTTTACAAATGGCGGTATAGATACTGGGATTTTTTTTTCTACTAGTAATGGTGTCGATCAGCGACTTTTATCCGGACTGTGGCGGACATTCTGACACTGGGAGGAACTGACTTGGTGATCAGTGCTAAAAAAGAAAAAAATGACACTGTACTAATGGCACTGGGCAGGAAGGGGTTAATGTGAGTGGCGATCAAAGGGTTAACTGTGTATAGGGAGTGTTTTACTAGGGGGCGGGGGAAGGTGTGCTTCACTGTAATCACACTGATCAGGATGGCTGTGCACAGCACAGCCATCCAGAGCAGTCTGCCCGAGCCAACAGGGAGGATCCCCGTCGGAGATGCTCGGTAATCACCGGGTGCCGGTGGGTAATTACAGGCATTGAAGTAAAAATGGCCACCGCCCAAGTCTATAACTGTCTTATGTAGCAAGGACGCATAAACAGGCAACGCACAGCGAATAAAGGGGAGAGAACAATGTTCCTGGACAACTTACAGGCAGGGACCCGGTGATTGACAGCCGCGGCCACAAACAGCAGCGCGGGTAGGGCGCATGTACGGCTCACGTACGGCTCACCTGGAAATGCATAATCACATTTACAGTATATATGTGATTTTGCGCACCCATGTCACCGTGTAGCAGTATTTCTGGTGGTCGGGAAGCAGTTAATTGGCTCATGTCTAAATTGTCCCTAGTATTTGTATGTATGTAGGGACCTTAGATTGTACACCCCTTGAGGGTTAGGGACCTTAGATTGTACACCCCTTGAGGGTTAGGGACCTTAGATTGTACGCCCCTTGAGGGTTAGGGACCTTAGATTGTACGCCCCTTGAGGGTTAGGGACCTTAGATTGTACGCCCCTTGAGGGTTAGGGACCTTAGATTGTACACCCCTTGAGGGTCAGGGACCTTAGATTGTACGCCCCTTGAGGGTCAGGGACCTTAGATTGTACGCCCCTTGAGGGTTAGGGACCTTAGATTGTACGCCCCTTGAGGGTTAGGGACCTTAGATTGTACGCCCCTTGAGGGTTAGGGACCTTAGATTGTACGCCCCTTGAGGGTTAGGGACCTTAGATTGTACGCCCCTTGAGGGTCAGGGACCTTAGATTGTACGCCCCTTGAGGGTTAGGGACTGATGTGAATGTACAATATATATGTAAAGTGCTGCATAAACTGACGGCGCTATATAAGTACCTGAAATAAATAAATAAAGAGTACACCGGTGCGAAGGGCCGCATTCACACGGGTGTTTCTGCGCATCCCCATGCAGGCAGTCCCAATCGTGACCATTAGAGGGCAGCGGCTGCATGGACACAGCTGCTGCTCCCAATGTGACATCCATGTGGCATGCACCCATAAGGACGTCAAATTGGGAGCATCAGCTGTGTCCATGCAGCTGCTGCATCCCAATTGAAAGGAATGGGGGTGTCTGCACAGGGATGCAGAGTGCAGGCAGACACAGCCCATCGCAGGGACGTACGCATTAGTGCCCCTGTGTGAACGAGCCCTTACATTGTTCAATATTTATTTTAAGCTGGGTAAACATTAATATATCTTTGAATGAACATTTTAGTTTTAAGAACCTCCATTTGTTTTTCTAATCATTAGTGGCATGAAATAAACATTCGTTTTTGACCATAGTGACTGCAAAA